AAGTAAAGTTCAGATACTGTTGGAGTTTTTAGTAACCTTGCTTAATCAAAAGTAGAAATTGACTTACAGGCTACAGATGTTGTCTGTGGCACCTGCAGTCACTGGAAGGACAGAGTCATTAACCTGGTATGTGCATCACTCCTGGGGCTAAACCTCTGCCAGAATAGAGCTGACCACTCCTCCCTTCAGTCATTAAAATCTGAAGATTTCTGTTCTTGATTGGTCCCATTGTCTATCTTAGGCCATTACTGTGTCCAGAGAGAAGGGATACTTTAATTGTCTAGTTTCAGAACAGGAGCGGTGCTTTGAATAAGAATAGGCTCCATAGGCTCATATTGTTTGAATGTTTGGTACCTATTTGGTGGAACTGTTTGGGAAGGCTTAGGAGGTGTGTCTTTGATGGAGGGGGTGTGTCTTGAGGAGTACATTTTGTGTTTCAAAAACCCATAATGTTTTTTTAGTTTTGTTCTCCTCCCATTCTCTCTCTATCTCCCCCAACCCCCACTCCTACCTGTGAATCAAATTTTGGCTCTCAGCTACTGCTCCAGCACCATGCCTTCCTGAGTGCTGCCATGCGTCATGCCATGGTGATCATGACACTGTAAGCAAGCCCCAATAAGCTCTTTGTTCTATACGTTACCTTGGTGATGGGGGCCTCTTCACAGCAATGGAAAGGTAACTAAGAGGAAGAGTCAGTCTGCTTTGAGGATTGAGGCCATGCTTACGTCTCACCATAGCTATCATCCAGAGGAATCCAGTTATGCCTGTAAGAACTACCCCTCAGAAGTGCCGTGTGCTGATCCTCGAGTCTATTAGGAACTCCCACACTGTGCTGAGGCTTTCAGTGCCGACCAAATGCACTGTGTCTTTTTGTTTCACGAACCAAGATGCAAAGTCAGCATCCTAAAATGCCCAGTGCTCAGAAGTAAATGCGCTAAGGACTTTGTTAGTGCAGTAGCGGGAAGGTGAGCGAGTGCTAAAGGGAAGCTGCTGGTGTCACCGCATGGCTGTGAAGTGCTTTGTTTTCAATCTCAGGTTAGAAATAAACAAGTGCAATTTGTTCTGACTTGGTATCAAGTCTAAATATGGAGCCACCTGCAAGACAGCCTTCTATCTGTGTTTGGGAGGGAATAGTACATACAGTCTCTTACCCATGTGGTTTGTGCCTTGGCTAAGAACAAGGTGTGTCTGGATTGGGCAATACTTAATCTTCTCTGTGCCTCAGGTATTCATACTCTAAAAACAGAGGACTGTGTTTGGGGGTTTGGGTTTTTTTTTTTTAGTTCATTTTAGACAGTGTCTCCTGTAGCACAGGCTGGCCTTCTGCTCACTATATAGCTGAGGATAACCTTGAACTCCTCATCCTCCCCCTCGCCAGTGCTGTTACAGTGTGCATCCTCATACCCAGCTTAAAACAGACCCTAACAGTATCTAACACAAAAGTCCACTGTGAACTTCAGCAGATGTGCAGCATAACTGGCTCACAACTGACATACAGTCGTAGTCAGCAGCCTTTAGCTGTCATGGTTGGCGTGGTCATCCAGCATCAGCCCTTGAGCCTTCAACTGGAAGTGTAGGGTAATCAGTATGGGAAGTAACGTGCTGTGCAGAGCCAGACGTCACAACGTCTGCTGCTGTCATGTCATCCTGCTACACTTCAGACATTGAGAGGAAGTCACAAAATCTGCTTCTGTCATTTCGTCCTGTTACACTTCAGACATTGAGAGGAAAGTGGAGGAATGAGTGGTTTCCAGACCCCTGACCCAGATCCACACGGTCTCATTCCCTGTAATTAATTGTTCCTCTAATCATCCCACCAGAGTATAGGAAAAGGTGGTAAGTACTGAGCCCCTCTGCTAGTCCCACTGCACTGCTGGGAGCAGATGTTGGGTTCAGCCTTGCCCACAAACCCCTTTTCAGGGAGCTTGTTACTTCTCACCTACTCTTGAAAGGAAAAAGAGGACCTTTCTAAACACTCCCCTGCTACTTAGAAGTCAAACCAATTAGAAGCAATACTTTCTGGCCCTTTTTCTTTACAAATGCACATGATTAAAAAGGGGGATTGGAGTAGCAAGGTAACTCAACTGGTAAAAGTATCTGCTACCCAGCCTGTGACTTGAGTTTGACTTCTGGATTAACTCAATAGAAAGAACCAACTCCCACAAGTGGTCCTCTGACCTTCATGTACCAACTCTCACACATATACACACTTACACACATACACATGTACATACACATTCGCACATACACACATCCTCACATACAATAGATAAATGTAAAAACAAGGAAAGGGAAAAAAACAAGTTAGGATTTGCTCTGAGCAGTATCTAAATTAGGGTTTTTGATCCATAGCTAGTGTTAGAAATAAGTTCAGGTCTCAAAGAAAGAGACCAGCTATTGACCACAGTGTCTACACAAAGCAGACTTTACACTTGATCAAGATGGTAGCTCACATACTGGGTGAACACAGAGAAACAGCAAATGCATTGTTTTTATTCTAACTGGGAGGTAGCTGTGTCTTTTTCCCATTGGATGGGCCTGACTTCACAGTCTTATTCAGTTGGCTACTCTGAAAATACTGGGCACACGGAAAGGGCTGCAGGCCTTCAAATTCCTACACTGGAACAGCAATTTTGAATAAACGAAGGTTTTACTTTGTGTGGAATATTTGCACACAAGTCGTACAAGGTAGGAGGGATAAAAAGATTTTCATTCCTTGTTCTAAACACAAGTGATATACTACTTGATAGAAAAGATTCATATTTAATATTTCTGACCCTGGGGAAACACCCCTGTTGTCCCCTCACTGGTTGAATAGGGATTGTTAAAACAGATTTGCAGCATCAACATTACAGAGAAGCACTTGCTTTTGATGTAAACCAGAAGGACTAGCAGCCATGGTTCCTGGTTATAATGTATCCTGGGTTTTACCCCACAATATTCCCATTAGCCTTATTGGCCTTTCCTCACCCTTTCTCTGGCCTGTAAAGCCACACAGTAGACGCAGACCACAGACACACTTTCATTGTGTATCCTTTGCTGGCCTGCATGAAATTCACCTAGTGCTTTTAAAATCAAATTCTTCATTTTTGATGCATGTAGCACTCATTTAGATCCTGTTTTATTCAACCAAATATTAAAAAAAAAAAAAAAACCTTTAGGAGAGAGAGAGCACTTGCCTCAAAAACAAACAAACAAATAGGGACAAAGCAGAGTTAGGGAAGGCTAGAGACTTGAGGCTATGGAAAAAACAACACCCAAGGCTGGGGGCAGGGAGGATTATGGCATGAAGTGACAAATTCATCTTATGTCATACAATCTGTTTTATAGCAAAGTATAAGGAGTTGGATGAAATGGATCCTAGGAACTTTTCCAACAATAGAATGACAGAGATCTAAATGAGTGAAATACATGTAGCCCTAAAAAGTAAAGGACTGAGGAGAGTCCTATTGTTCAGAGAACCTAAGCACCCGTCTCCAAATCCATGCTGGAGTGCATCCCAGTCCAGTCTGTGAGCTGAAGGAGTCTGAGGGGTGGGTATGCTGGCCAGGATGACTGTTTATAACAGGTAGGGACTGAGTGATGCTGGGAGAACCTGGCAACCCACATCAGCTTTGATATGCTAATAGGCATCTCAGTTAGCTTTTTGTCCCAGGTTTGAGACCTAACAACCTCCCCACACACCCTATTTATAAATTATGCAGGGAATTAAGGTTGGAAGAGTCAAATACAGACTCAAATGTGCTTGAGTAAGGAGCTAGCACTGTAAACTAATACTCAGGTTCCTTTTTTTATTGAATATTTTATTTATTTACAATGCAAATCTCATCCCCTTTTCCCATTTCCCCTCCCTAGAACCCCCTATCCTATCCCATCCCTCCTCCTCCTTTATGCTTTTATACCATTTTGATTACATGCATGTATTAAGGTCAGTTCTAGGTTAAAAGTCTAGCAATGCAATAGATGCAAATAGTCGAGGAACAAGCAAGACAATAAACACAAATAGTCAAAGAAAAACCAAGGCATTAAACCCACTTATGTGAACACATCCGTGATCATTGTTTCTAAGGGCTTATCAGGATGACCTGAGTTACTTCCCTGTCCTAGCCCAAGGTCATTTTTATGTCTGAAGCCTACTTCCCTGTTCTAGCCTAAAATTTAGGTTCCTGCCTGAAATTACTTCTTTGTTCTAGCCTAATGTCAGATTCCTGCCTGAAGCCTACTTCCTTGTCCAATGGCCAATGTCATATTCCTGCCAAGCAGCCCCAAAGGCTCTCTGCCTCTCCCCCTTTTTTATTTCATTAACAAGACTGAGCCTATCTTAGGTCGTTCTGACAAGAATCCCTTCCTTACCCATCATGGATTATGTATTGTCAAAGTTTCCTGCCCACACCACCCAGGAGGACCAGAGCAAACATATCCTCTCTCATTCAAATCAACATCTTTGTTGCTTCATGGTCCATGATTTGTCCAAGCGAAATTGCAGGAACTCATGCCTAACATAAACCATCAAATGATGCTTTAGCCTTAACTCCATCTACACAGAGGATAAAATGTGTGAAAACAGACGTGCACACTCTGGTCAGCATTTCAGCTGACATGCCACCTGTGTCTGTGTGTCAGCCTCCCATGTCCTGATTACTTGCTTCTCTCCTGGAGTTGAGGACTAGTGTATCTTTATTTCTCACAGTAACTCTACCAAGTGTGCTTTTAGCCTCTAGATGAATATCTTAAAGGGGAAGGGTACTCTAATATCAGGAATTGAATCCTGGAAGTATATTTAATATTTAGCACAAATACAAGACATCAAAGAATATCTGATAGGACTAGCCTAAGCTCACTTGTGCAGGTTTATCCAGATTGAGGTTGAAGAATGTGAAGAATGTGTATGTGCTGTTTGAGGTCATTTTTGAGATACATACAAAGCCCAGGTCACTGCCAGAGGCTGAAGGTGCAGTTGAGACCTATGTTGCTAACTGTCTGTGTCTTTTACATTTCAGGAAGACTTGTCCCAGGTGGTTGATGACAACATGGTGGCAGAGCAGGAGGAGGCATCAGAGTCACCTGACAGTGTGAGTTATTTGTGTTTGGGGTTTGCTCTGTGGAGTAGTGTGCCATATGAATTGTCTCCACAAGCAAACAAGATGGTTGTGATGGCAAGTCCTTTCTTACTGGCAGAGGTTAAGGGTGTCTTGAGACCTGTGTCAATGCACAGTTGTGTCATGGATCACACTTGATTTCACAGAAGTGTCCTCTTATCACCAGTCTGTTCTGGTAGCCTGACTGGGTATTTAAAAGGGACCCTTGAGCCAACAAGATGGCTCAACAGGTAAATATGCTTGTTACTAACCCTGATGACCTGATTTCAGTCTCTGAGATCCACATGGTGTAATGAGAAACTGAACTACCAAAACTGATCCTCTTCCTCATGTGAACACACACACACACACACACACACACACACAAATATTTTTCCAAGACATCCTTTGGCAGCTAAATTGTAAGAACACTCTATCTTACACAATGCCATGAATAAAATTTTCAAGTGGAAGAATTTATAATTTGATAAAGATATAAATACACTAACTTTAGTGATCCTTACATTTTGAGTTTCACTTTTCTTAAAAAGCTAGAGGTCTGATGACATCAATGAATGAATGAAATAGCCAGGCCCTAAATCTTTCTTTAATTGGGGGAGGTGAGCTTTGTGTAACCCAGATTTGCCTCAAACCCATATAGCCCAGGTTAACCATGATCTTCTGCCTCCACCTCTCATGTACTGGGTTGTCTGGCTTCTGCTGCACACCCAGTAAGCTATCAACTTTTATCTGCCAAATGTTAGCAGCTATTAACTTTTTTCTTCTTTTTAAATCCTGGTTTTCATTTCTGTAAAACTAGTTTATAATTAAGATTAATTTTATTTTTACCTGTGTGTGCTAGTGTCTGTGCATGAATATGTGTACATGTCCTAATTGGAGTTACTATTGCTGTAATGAAACACTATAACCAAAAGCTGGCTGGGGAGGAAAGGATTGATCTTGCTTATACTTCCATATCATTGTCAAAGGCAATTAGGGCAGGAACCTGGAGGCAGGAGCTGATGCAGAGGCCATGGAGGGGTGCTGCTTACTGGCTTGCTCACCATGACTTGCTCACCCTTCTTTCTTATAGAACACAGGACCACCTATCCAGGTTTGGCACCATCCACAATGGGCTGGACCCTCCTTTATAAATCATCAAGCAAGAAAATGCACTATAGGCTTGCCTACATTATAGTGGCCTGAACTCCAGCAAACCAATTTTCTCAATTGACACTCCCTCCTCTCAGATGACCCTAGTATATGTCACTTTGACACAAAAACACTCAAATGCCAATGTCTGCAGAAGCCAGAAGAGTGAGTCTAATCCGCTTCCTGGAGCAGGAGTTACAAATGATTATGAGCCACTTGGTATGGGTTCTGGAAAGCAAATTTGGATCCTCTGCAAGAGCAGTACAGATTCTTAACTGCCAAGTCATCTCTCTAGTCCTAGTTATATGTGTATGTCACTAAAATGTTCACTATTCAGAAACAACAGATAACAAGAGGGTAGAGAAAGTATATGACAGGTGTGGTGGCGCATGCCTTTAATCCCAGCACTTGGGAGACAGAGGCAAGTGAATCCCTGAGTTCAAGGGCAGCCTGGTCTACTGAATGAGTACTAGGATAGCCAGGGCTACACAGAGGCACCATATCTTGAACCCCCCTCCCCACAAAAAAAATGTATATGATTTTTCAAACATTTCCAAATATAATGCCTCCAAAAACTCTCTAAAATTATATGCTGAACATGTAAATAAAAACAGAGTGTAGGCATGAGCATGGAGTTTGACTCTAGAGTACTTACATAGCATGCCTGAGCCCCTGGGTGGTGTCACATGCCTTTAATCCCAGTACCCTGGAGATAGAAGCAGGTCAGTCTCTAAGTTTAAGGCCAGCTTGGTCTACTGAGCAAGTTACAGGACAGCCAGTGCTACATGGCTACACTGGGGGGGAGGGAGGGGTTGGGGAAAGCACGTTCTCAGAAAACCAAGGGGGGAGAAAAGAGAGGAGGAAAGGAAGGGAGGAAGGAAGGAAGGAAGGAAGGAAGGAAGGAAGGAAGGAAGGAAGGAAGGAAGAGAAATAGCTAAAGTCTGGAGACATGATGGTAGTGGTTTCGTTGCCAGAGCTCCAGCAAATGAAATTGGCTGGCTGCTGATGGAAATGAAGAGTTTTGACCCTAAAATTTCTGATCCAAAGGTCACGAGTCATTTATGATCTGTTTTGGGGGAGGGGCCAGGCATTGCTGGTATTGCTGGTATTAATTTCTCTCTCATGTTTACAATCGACCTCACAAGGTACATCTGTCCCATTAGCCATGTCCAGATGAGGAGACCAAGTGCCGTCTGCAGTCTCAGAGCTCATTAGTGGCTGGGAACTTCCCAAGCCATGGACTTCTTTAAGTGTATTCTTTGATGTTGTGAAGACTGAGCCTCTCCCCAGAGAGACTCTGATAAGTATGACTGTCTGTGACCATGAGTCTGTCTAGAGCCCTGAGCTAAGTAACCTTGAGCCTCTGTGATGCCCCCACCCTGGTTTTTAGGAATAACCCCTCCACACACACTTTATTCTTGTTAGTAGATATGTAACAGGAAAGGCTTTTTAAGTAAGGGTCCAGTCAGTGTTAAAGATGAAGAGAGAGGGTCACTGAGGTTGTTCAACAGGTGAAAGCTTGTACAGCAAGCTTGATGCCCTGAGTTCTGTTCCCAGAACCCAAATAAATAAGCCAGATGCAGTGTCCAGTACCTACAGCAAGATGGGAGACAGGAGACTAGCTATGAGCTGGCAGACCAGCTGCCCTGAAGTACACAGCACAAAACAAGAGACACCCCACCTCATTCAGACAGAAGCTGAGAACCTATCCAAAAGTTCTCCACTGACCTCCCAATGTGATAAGTAAAACTCAAATCTGTTCTTATATTTAAAAAAGCCTAGGGAACCAAATGAACACCCCCAGAACCATAGCCTAGCAGCTGTCCCATAAATACTCTGACTGTAGCATTCTCTAACAGCTGACTTCCACCTGGCCTCCCTCTAGTTCGCTGTGTGTTAATAGTGTCTAATGCTGAGGGCTATTCCTGTGGTTGAGGTATCCTTATGGGCAATATTATTTTAAAAGCTAGGAAGCATAACACAAATACACAGTGGTGAGAATTGTCTAAGTTCTTGCAATGATTGGTGCCTTGTACCGAAGAACAGATGTTGGAGTAGGTATTTCTAGAGTCCAGAGACAGCCTGGCATTTACTGGAATCCAGCCCACAAATCAGGTCACCACCTCTGCTTTTTTTTTTAAGATTTATTTATTTACTTAATGTATATGAGTACACTGTAGCTGTCTTCAGACACACCAGAGGAGGGCATCCTTTCCCATTACAGATGGTTGTGAGCCACCATGTGGTTGCTGGAAGTTGAACTCAGGACCTCTGGAAGAGCAGTCAGTGCTCTTAACCACTGAGCCATCTCTCTGGCACCACCTTTGCTTTTTATGTGACTCTTGAGAAGGCATGGAGTCCTTTCTTTCTCTTAACTAATGCTAATATTCACTGGGGGCATTGCCAGCAAAAGTACAAAACTACAAGTGGATATTCCACTCCTATCCTGCTTCCCTTTTTGACCAAGCCTCCATCAAGGTATTTTTGAAGCAAAGTTGAATAGGAGGCAGAGCAAAAATCAGCCTCGCTTTCCCTTGCCACCTCTCTGAGCATCCTGCTGTCTCAAAACATAGTTTTGGAGCCCATCATTTTGGTAACAATAATGCAACAGTTTCACAATGTGCTTATTCTCTCTTTGACATTCACATGATTTTCTTTCCTTTTGTAGGCTGCCTGCCAGATAAAACAGCAAACATATTCAACACAAGTCTCCTCCAGCTCACAAGAGACCCCATCAGCACTGACTCCCTTGTGTCAGTCAGCACATGCAGATGTCACAGGCTCTGGTACGACTCCATCTAACTAAAACTGCCTGGTGAACCTTTGGAAAAGGAGAATATCATGATGCTTTGAGAAAAGAATAAGATGAGGATGCAGGACAGCTAGCTGTGTGGTCCTCTTCTGCTTCCTTACCAATGAGATGAGGATGCAGGACAGCTAGCTGTGTAGTCCTCTGCTTCCTTACCAATGAGATGAGGATGCAGGACAGCTAGCTGGCTGGTCCTCTTCTGCTTCCTTACCTTTGAGCTTGAACACCCCACTTCCTGCACTGTTTTCTCATTTCTCCACTATCTGCATTGCCTGATATTTACTGAATACAAACAGAAAAGGCCCTCCATATAGGCATTTGATATAATGAAGGCCTACAGATTGCCTGCCAGTCTCTCCCAAAGATTAAGGTTACATCATAAATAGTGACTCCAAAATCATAATGAAGCCAGTTTTCAGCACTATGTATATTTGATATAAGCCATTTGAAGATTTGTATTTCAGTAAAGAAGTTGGTGTTCGGAGCCTGGCGTGGCGGCAACCTGTAATCCAAGCACTTAAGAAATGGAGGTAGGGAGATCAGGAATTTAAGGTCATCCTCAGCTACATAGTGAATTCAGGGCCAGCCTTGGGCTCTCAAGAATGTAGTCTCCAAAGGATAGAGGAAAAGGAAAGAGGCAAGGTTGGAATTCATTTTGTAGCCTGAATTATGATGATGATTGAGTGTTGAAAATATCAGTAACTTTTAACAAAATTTTTCTTTATTGCCTCAGGAAGTAATATTTATTATAATATAAATATATCCATTTATTTGTGTGTATGTGTGTTTACTTTTGTATATAAGAGTTCAATAACCTTTACCAAAGTACTTGGGACCAGAAATCTTTAAGATTTTGGAACATTTTTATATACATAATGAGATAGATTGGAAATAGAATTCAAATCTGATTACGGAATCTGTTATGTTTTATATACACATTCAGTGTACAGCCTGAAGGCTGTTTGGATATGTCTGTATTTGAACTTTTTCCTATCACATGAAGTAATGTGTATAATTTTGTATTTATGATACTATGTTGATGATCAAAAAAATTCCAGATCTCTGGATTAGGGAAGCTAAACCTGTGATAAATTTTAAATAATCTTTTTCAATCATGTACTTTATTGATTCCCTTATACATCTTAATTTGTGTGTCATACTCTTACTTGGAAACATTTAAGCACATTTTTATTTCTTTTGTTTTGGTTTTTGCAGTATGAGACATTAAACCTAAGACCTTGTCTTAGGTTTCATTGCTGTGAAGAGACACTATGACCATGACAACTCTTATAAAAGACAATATTTAACTGGGGTTAGCTTATAGTTTTAGAGGTTCAGTCCATTATCATAATCATGGCAGGAAGCATGGCAGCGTGCAGACAGACATGATGCTAGAGAAACTGAGAGTTCTACATCTTGATTCTAAGGCAGCAGATTCTAAGGAGGGTTTTTTGAATTAAATACACCTAAAATTGGTAAGTCGACAGATTCTAGGAATTAATGGTTTTGTCTCAGAAAGTGCCATCCAGTGGGTGAGGAAAGCCATGGTCCAGCTTTCCCTTCATAGAGCTTCATGCAAAGAGAGTGAGGTGGCAGCCACACAACCCCATCTTCCAGGCAGTACAAGATGAGCTGCATCTCCTGCTTGCTAGTCATTTTGTTTTATCACTTTCCAGCTAACTTCCAGGCTCCCCTCTCAGTGGACCCTGCTCCTCTCTCAGTGGACCCTGCAACATGTCCCATTGTCCCTGGCCAGGAAATGATCATAGAAATATCCAAGGGGCGCTCTGGGCTTGGTCTCAGCATTGTTGGAGGAAAAGACACACCTTTGGTAAGTATGTAGAAGTAAAATGCTGTCTTAGAGTTAGTTGCTGAGACTCATTATGACCCAGGATACTTGAATGGAAGCTTGACAAAACAAAATATAAATTTCCATTCCCTAAAACATAAGGAAACTCAGGAGCTGCAGGTACTACAGTAATCTGGTCCCCCACTCCTGGTCTGTAGACCTCGCCTCTCTGTATCTACCCACCTGTCCTAGAGCACATGACCAGCCACTGACTCTCAGTGAACTACCCAGCCCGGAAATGGATATGCTCTGAGCCTGATGTTGTTGACTAAAAGATTCTAACTCCTTCTGCCTGATCACAACACAATGATTGAGGACATTTATATCCTAACTTTTCCTCTGCTTCTGCAGGCAGAAACTACTGCATGTAGCATCCTATATAAGTATAACGTCCCTTGGATAGAACTGGGGATGCTGGAGTTGCCAAAGTTAAGCTGTCAGCCCCTTACATGGGCCTTTGCTTCATTAAGGCTCTAAATTCCTTATCTCATCTAGCCTGGGATACTGTGTCTGTCTGCCTTTTGTCATTGAGGGAGGAGAGAACTTTCTTTAAGGGCTTTCTTGTTTGTTTTTTTGTTTGTTTATTTGTTTGTTTTGTTTTTTCGAGACAGGGTTTCTCTGTATAGCTCTGGGTGTCCTGGAACTCACTCTGTAGATCAGGCTGGCCTTGAACTCAGAAATCCGCCTGCCTCTGCCTCCCAAGTGCTGGGATTAAAGGCGTGCGCCACCACCGCCCAGCCGCCACCACCGCCCGGCAAGGGTTTTCTTTTGGATGATATGTATGACTAAGCTATATCATTAAACAATGCAATGCTCAGATATCATAGAAATCTTGACTCGTAGCTAACCATCTAACTGATCACAGGGTCCCCAGTGGAGAAGATAGAGAGAAGACTGAAGGTGTTGAAAGGGCTTGTGGCCCCATGGGGAGAGTGACAGTACCAACCAACCAGAGTTCCCAGGGTCTAAACAGCTATACTAGGAACACACATGGAGGGGCCCTTGTCTCCAGCTGTATATGTAGAGGAGGATGGACTTGTTGGGTATCAGTGGAACAAGAAGTCCTTGGTCCTGTGAAGGCTGGATGCCCCAGTGAGGGGGAATTCGAGGGTGAGGAGGTGGGAGTGGGGGGATGGGTGGGGGCACATCCTCATAGAAATAGGAGGAGGATGGGTTAAAGGGCTTCTGGGGGATGGGGAAAGGGGAAAAGGGATAACATATGAAATGTAGATAAAGTATCCAATAAGAAAGAAAGAAAGAAAGAAAGAAAGAAAGAAAGAAAGAAAGAAAGAAAGAAAGAAAGAGGAAGGAAGGAAGGAAGGAAGGAAGGAAGGAAGGAAGGAAGGAAAAAAGAAAAAAAGGAAGACAAACAAAAACCAGAACATTTGAGACTTTTTGGTAGCAATTTAACATTACCCATATTACTGGGATTCCTTATAATTGTCAAGGACAAGAGACTAGAAGGGACCCATGAACTTTAAAACATTATTTTCATAAAATAAAAAAGAGAGAGAGATATCTCCATATACCACAAGTTTATTAAAAGAGAGAAAGAGAGAGAGAGAGAAATCTTGACTCACCGGGTTGTAGTAAAACTGAAAAATTTTATAAACACTTGGAAATGGTTTATTCTTGCCATACTATGGCCATTAGAGTAGTATTAAGAAGCTATTCCCTAACATTGGTATTCGTTCCCTCTTAGAAGCCTGTTTTCCCCATTTTCCCAAAGAGATGTCTTAAATACTGTAAGAATTAAATTTATATAAATAAAGCTATTTAAGCAAAACAGGGAAATTAAATTTTAGAGTAGTTCTATGCAGAATGTTTTCATGATAAAAATTTTAACCCACTGGGGGCTGGAGAGGTGGCTCAGTTGTCAGGGCCAGCCCTGCTTATTCACTGAAGGCCTAAAATCAGCAATAGGCCTGACATACATGCCTGCTAGCACCAAGTCTTGGGTCTCTGTGGAAAAACACTGAAACAGATGGCTAGAAGTTATTGTAAACAGGCAGCTTTAGTGGAAAGCTGCCAAGCCTGGCTAGTCATAGACCTTGTAGATGGGTAACCTTGGTGGATAGTATCAACTTAGATAAAGACAAGTGAATCATAGGCGCAGTCATAGTGGTCTGTCCCCTGAACCCTCACCCAGCTGACACTGTTCTGGAAGAGATCTGTACTTCCCTTGAACACCCATGCTCCTGCGTCATCCCCTTCCCCACATCCTGCCTTTTTGTGTATGTAACCTGTGTGTGAAAAAGTAAAAATTGCGATCTGAACAGATTATAGACAGGTCGTCATTCCTTGCGTCTTTGCCTGCTTCTCCCCACCCCCACTCTCTTTCAGGTGGTCTCCCCAGACCCCTGTTTAATGTCCTGCTGGACAGGACACTCAGTGGTTAAGAGCATAGGCTGCTACCCCAGAAGACCCAGGTTTCTAGTATGAACGTGGTGGCTTACAGATATCTATAATTCCAGTTCCATGGGATCCGATACCTAGGCACTGCTCACACATGGTGCATATACATGCACATAAAAAATTATCCATCTGATTTTTTTTTTTTGGAATAAATCTCTTTTTATGGCTTAGCCTAAGGCAGATCTAAACTTCCAGGAAGTCTCGAGTGGAGTCAGCTTAGTGACTCTTCAGTTTGCTCTCTCACCTCTGTTGGCGTAAATACAGTCCCTTTGTATGGAACCCTCGGGATTCCTGACCCTGGTGTGTGTGCTGCCCACCACCACTGGCCTGTGCTCCAGCCTCTGCCTGAGGGCGCTCACCCAGCCTCCTCTTCTAGCAGCCCGAGGCCTTATTGATTATCTTGCTCTGCTTCTCTTGCCAAAAGATAAAAGTTCCTGAAGATCATCATGAGGTTCCTAATACATGGTTCTGCCATTTGAGACTATAAATCCCAGTGTCCTTGAAAGATAAGCACCACTTAAAATGAGAGATGAGACATAGCTTTTATTTCCTAACCTCACGTACCTCATCAAAAGCCTTAAGTTAGAGCTACAAAAAATATAGGTGTGTCATTTGTGCAGCCAAAAAGTGGGTCAATGTGAAAAGTACTTAAACATATTGTTCCTGTGAAGATCTTTTTCCCTTTTTAATGCTCCCCCAAATTTTCACATGAAGCATGAAAACTAACACATGGATCACATTATCCAGCCAGCAAGAAGTTTGCAAACAAAGGTGGGAGTTTGTGAAAAGAAGTTACAGGAAACAATGAGCCAGGTATGAGCAGAACCTCTCCTGGTTAAACTCACTTCAGCCTTAGTGCAGGAAAGAGTACTGACTTCCACCCCTCCCCTACGCACCCCTCCTCTATACACCCCTCCCCAACACACCCCTCCAAATTAGAATCCCGTGTCCTTTTTGTTATGTAGCCAACGGATCATGACCATCTGTAGAGTTAGTCTCTTGACACCTCATCAGTCCTCTCTGCCAGGACAGATGGCTTTTGAGATCACAGAGGGAGATCACATATCCTGTCTGTATGCTTGTAGCCAGTCACCTGCACCAGCCTTTGAAAGTACTGAGCTAGTGACAAGGGTGAGCCCCTCAGAAGGTTTACAAGCACACCTGATCTTGTCCTCGGAGACAGCCCTCTGCCGCTGTTGTTCTCATCTGTGATGCCACTGCCAGGCTGGCGTCTGGAGCACAGCCTTCTGTGATAGCTTACATATGTTTGCTCAGCTCCTCTTGCTTTGACCTGGGCTGTGAAACTGAGTGACGTTACCCTGCCCTCAAAGAGTGTTCACTAGTTAGTTCTACTACCTTTTAGTGTTTCTGGTTTACAGTAGGAAATAACCCAATGAAAGACCAAAATACTTCAGACCTCTTTGGGTAGAAAAAAAGGAACACCATGGAAAGCATTTTCTGAATTTATTATAGACTAATTGTTGTGTGGTGTGAGGAAGGCAGATAAGGCAGATCATGCTGCTAAGGTGAGGTATTAGTTCGTGTTTAGTTTCCTGTCATTCATAGGCGTACAACTGCATCTTTTTTCCTGTCTTCCCTAGCTCTTGCTGACCTTGCTGAAGTATTCCTTTGCCTCATAAAATACCTCACAGCTCCTGGAAGTCATGGAATCTGCAACTACAAGAGCACATACCCTGCTAGCCCCTCCCGGTCCTGTTAACCCTTCTCAAAATGTCTGATTCCTCATTGGGAGGTTTATACCCACATTCTTGAAGAAACAAAATATAGCACCCCAGACAGTTTGTCCTGTGCTGGTTTGCGCCTCTGTGGCCTCCCTGACCACTAACTTGAAGGGTGTATTTAGCACCTGACACAGATTTTCGTGTAATAACCCATGCCTTCTAGGAACAGCATTGTCCACTCATGAGAATATCCCAGTTTAAACTCTTTTTATTTTTAACTCGCTCTCGCTCTCGCTCTGTGTGTGTGTGTGTGTGTGTGTGTGTGTGTGTGTATATGTGTGCACATGTGAACCCAGGGCCTCACGTATGCATGCTAACCCAGTGCTCTAAAACTGAGCTACGTTCCCAGCCTCTTAACTCAATGCTTTAGGAGGAAACTTTTCAATTTGAATTCACCTGGAAAAAATAAAGTGCAGCAATTTGCAGAAAGGCTCAGGGCTGGGAGTTTGAGGAGTTATGTTTTCTGATATTCTGCAGGTAGCCCACTGAATTTTCTTTGTTCACAACATTTAATAATGTCAGTGAAATTCTTAATTGAACCACATGGCATCTAAAGTCATCCCAGATTTTAAAATTCTTTCTCCCCACATATTCACACAAACTATTTACCATATAGTAGATACTGATTGGATAATAAGGGCTCCCCAGACACAGACAGCTAAGTGTTAGGAGTATACATAGTAAATAGAGAGAGGGACTGACTCAGTGAATCTGGATTTTAAGAAGAATCATAATAATCTTGTTCTTTGTATTTAAACAGACATGGTTTAAGCTTGCAGTTTTGCTTGAAATGAGATAAACTCCTTCCCCTTAACTCAGCGTTTT